TTATTTAACTGCAGTTTAATTTTTAGTTCTATAAAAAAGAAGACTCAGTTTTATACAGGTAAATATGATAGTCATTGCTTGCAATATCAGCTGCCTTGTTTGGCAACTGTTATGATGCTGTAAAAAAACCTTACAACTGTAGCAGCATCTCATGGCCATGTGATCATCATTTGGACACTTCACAACCAGCATACCCTTACAACCATTGCAGCATTCTGCAGTCACATGATCACCAGTTGTGTGTTGTGCAACTGGTTTGTGACAAGTAGAGTTAATAGAGAAGGAAGAAGTACAATCATAAATCATAGTTACATGATGTTTTGCTTAAATACTCTGATACTTTACTTAATAATCAAAGGGGTAGTGAGATTGTAAGCCTGTTACAGTCATATGATATTTTGCTTAGTGATTGCAGCATTTAACAACAGGGTTACTGGTCCCAGTTGTCATTAAGTGAGGACTACCTGTATCCTCTCAAATTTGACTGTTGCTGTCAATGGCTTTTTATTTTGTTTTAATCTTGACCAGAGATCTCACTTTTGGAAAATAATTCTCTTGTAGCCCAGGCCGTCTCAGAGATTTGTTTTGAAGATAAAATGAAGAAAAGTATGTTGCCTTGAATTCTTGGAGGAAAAAAAGATACAAATGGAAATTACACAATGACATCATTATAGAAGTAGAAGCTATATGACTTTGCTACCAATAATGTGTTGACAGTAAGAGTAAGAAACATTTACCTGTAATCTTATCTTTTTTATTCATTAGCTCTTTAGATAACAGGCCTGTGATTTAAAATTATGGTTAAATACAAAGGAAAAATCAAAGTATTAAATGCAAAAAAGATCTTTAACTTTACATTACAAATGAACTTGAGAAATTGTTTATGTTTACTTTTTAAAAAAAAAAATGTTCTTCACAATGAACATGTTCATTGCCATCTGTTAAAACAATTGGCCTTGGCATCAAGCTTTTCATGTAAACTGAGAAGTATTTTCTAAAAATGGAGGAGTAGGAAATGGTGGGCAATAGGAAATATTTTTTTTACTTCAGATGCTAGCTTTATATAGACTATGAGCATAAAGTTCATTTGACAATTTTTTCCACTTTGCGAAACATCTACACTGCTATGAGAAACATGTACGCTACTAAAATCAGTTAATGAAATCATTTGATTTATTTTTCAGAATATATTTAATTACTGTGCTTCTAAATTACCCAATATCTGCAGCTCCAGCGTAGACACATTTTAATGAACTGTAAAAAGATAGGAAACACCGGCTGCCCATATCTCTTGCGAATAAAGGCAAATATACGTGTCCCAGGATAATGTTGCAGGATCCAATCTGAGTCAGTAACCAGGACCAAAGGTTTATTCTTCCAAGTTTTCGGGCTTGTGCTGGAGCCCATCATCAGGGATCTTCCCTCTCTTTCTAGAATATGTACACTACCTGTTTATTAATATGGTGCCTAATTGTGTGTAGCTTTTAGTTGTTAATTAGCGTGTTGGTAGTTGGATATTAAGTGATTGATTGTTGTTTTCCTTGTGCTGCTGAGTCCTTGGCTGCTAAGTACCTGATAGGAAACAGTATAAGCAAAAGTTGTATTGTAAGAAATCACAATACTAAAAATCACAATATGGACTGAACTGATTCCATCCTTCTGGGCCTCCTACCTCTGGTGATCACAGAAAAAGAAGGCTTTTGTTTATTTCACAGACAAAAGCCTGGAAAAGCACCAAGCCTAGACAAGGTAACTCTTTCTTGCTTGAAAGTTTGTGCTCCCATCTACACCCACATCTTTAATAACTCACTAGAGATGTGTTATGTTCCTTCTTGCTTCAAACACTCTACTATCATCCCATGTAGCTGAACAACTACAGACCGGTTGCTCTGACGTCCGTAGTTATGAAAACCTTTGAAAAGTTAGTGTTGGCCCACCTGAAAAACATGGATCTGCTGACGAATCTGCATATAGACGGGAAGTTGAACAACTGGCCCTGTGGTGCAGCTGAAATAATCTTGAGCTGGACACACTCAAAACTATAGAGATAATAGTAGATTTTAGGAGAAGCTCTCCTATTCTACCACCTCTTACAATACTAAACAACACAGTATCAACAATAGAGACCTTCACATTTCTAGGTTCTCAGGACTTAAAATGGACACCTAACATCAAAAATATCAAAAAAAGCACAATAATTAAGAAATGTTCTTCCTGCACCAACTCAGAAAACTCAGACTACCCAAGGAGCTGCTGATACAGTTCTACAAAGGAATTTTTGAGCCTGTCATTTGCACCTCTATAACTGTCAGTTTGGCATAGCAAACAAGACAGACTTCAACGTTAAGACTGCAGAAAAACAAGTTCAACCAGCCTGCCTTCCATTGAGAACCTATATGCTGCATGAGCCAGAAAGAGGGCTGTGAAAATATCTACAGATCCCTCACATCCTGGACATAAACTGTTTCAACTTCTTCCCTCAAGACGACATTGCACGCCAAAACAACTAGACACAAGGACATTTTCCTCCCCGTGCCATCACTCTGCTAAACAACTAATTCCCACTGCACTGTCTTATGCCCTGGGATGTCAAACCGCCTAGTAGGACTGTATTACTATTATCCTTCTCTTTCCTTTTACCTATTTCCTTAGCTTCTTATGACTATAACTTTGTATCTTATGATTTATGTTGGTTGCTTTTATTTAGTATCCTTTTATGATTTATGTTGTTTGCTTATTTAGTACATGACTGTCACTGAGAGTTGTATCTTATGATTTATGATGATTGTATTTTGTGATCATGATTTATCACTTGTTGCTTATATGTACATTGAGAACTTATACACCGGAGACAAATTCCTTGTATGTCCAATCACACTTAGCCAATAAAAAATTGTATTGTATTGTATTGTGTATTCTGTTCTGTTCTATTCTATTCTTAAAACAATTGGGAAACAGATACTTATTAAAACTGCTGTTAATTTGTTAGGTGTGCCACCTTCACAGAAAACAAAATTTGTTTATCAAGATTTATTAGAAGAGGAGAGGATAAGGAATCTTAACAACTGGTTTTCCAATACTTGATGAAAGGTGTAGAAATTACAGCAGTCGTCATTTTATGCTCATGAAATGCACTAAATATCCATTCTATGTATGGAATGGAAGGGAAGGGAAGGGAACTGGAAGGGACTTTGGAGGTCTTCTAGTCCAGCCCCCTGCTCAAGCAGGAGAACCTATACCATCTCAGACAGGTGATTGTCTAGTCTCCTTAAAAATCTCCAGTGATGGAGCACCCACGATTTCTGGAGGCAAGCTGTTCCACTGGTTGATTGTCCTCACTGTCAGGAAGTTTCTCCTTAATATCAGGTTGCTTCTCTCTTTGATCAATTTCCTACCATTGTTTCTCGTCCTTCCCTTTGGTGAGCAAAGTGACCCCCTCTTCTTGTGGCAGCCCCTCAGATACTGGAATACTGCTATCATGTCTCCCCTATTTCTTCTTTTCTTTAGACTAGCCAAACCAAAGTCCTGCAGCCGTTATTTGTATGTTTTAGTCTCCAGGCCTTTGATCATCTTAGTTGCTCTTCTCTGATGTTTTTCCAAACTTTTGACATCTTTTTTGTGATATGGTGACCAAAATTGGCTGCATTATTCTAGGTGTGGTCTTACTAGGGTTTTATAAAGCGGTACTAATACTTCGTGTGATCTTGATTCTGTGCCTCTATTTATACAATCCAGAATTAGATTAGCTTTTTTGGTTGCTGCTGCACACTGCTGGCTCATAGTCAAGTGATCGTCCACTAGGACTCCAAGGTCTCTCTCACAGTTAACTGTTTTTAAGTCAGGTCTTGCCCAATCTGTACTTGTACCTTTGATTTTTCCTGTCTAGAAGTATGTGGCTTTTCTCCACATTGAAACTCATTTTGTTGGATAGGGCCCATTGTTCAAGTTTATCTAGATCAGGGGTAGGCAACCTTGGCTCTTTTATGACTCATGGACTTCAACTCCCAGAATTCCTGAGCCAGCCATGCTGAGGGAAAAGGGAGGTTTCCAAGCTGAGCCATGCTGGCTCAGGAATTCTGGGAGTTGATGTCCACGAGTCATAAAAGAGCCAAGGTTGCCTACCCCTGGTCTAGATCTTTTTGGATCCTGAGCTTGTCTTCTGGGGTGTTGGCTACTCCTGTCAGTTTGGTGTCATCTACAAATTTGATGAGTTCCCCTTCAATTCCCTTATTTAAGTCATTTATTTATTTATTTATTTATTAATTTAATTTGTACCCCGCCCTTCTCCTCATGGGACTCAGGGCGGCTAACAGCCTCATAAAAACCACAATACAAATACAATGACATCTATATTAAAAACCGAATTAAAAGGAAATATTTAAGAAGGCCGATTATTAAAATTATCCTTAAAATACCCTTAAAAAACCCCACTAAAAA